AGTTACCAATGCCTCTTTAAATGCAGTAGTCGTAATCCCGGGCAATGTCTATGGATACGGTGTATGGGACATTGGATGACCGCCATGACAACTTCAACTGGAATTTAAGGGTCTCTGCCTATGGTGGCCGTTTTTGGGAAAGGGCTGGGCTTTGATTCGCATTATTCGAACGCATCCGCTGCCACCTACGTAGACTACCCGAGCCCAAGTATGAAAAAGCCTGATACAACAAAACAGGGTGTATTGACCAATCACAAGCCAGAACCACACGTCGGGCGCCTTCCATCCGAGTCCACCACGCTCACCACGCCGCTCATTATATACTGCACCTCATTCGTGTCCTTCTCTGGTTGGCTGCTCAACTTCCTCGCATACCATTGGAACGCCGAGAGACACAGGATTAGCTGAGGCCAGTGTAGTCCAACATGTCTGCGCCCTCAGACGTCGCCATACCACACTTGTCATCAAAGTAAGAGACTCGGAGAACCTATATTCTCTTTGAAGTTCCCGCTTCATCTGTTGGAATCTGTTTTTATCAAAATAAAAGCACGTGTAAAAATGACTTTCCCTAGGGCGCACTGAATTAAGTGACCGTCAGAATAATTGCACACAAGATAACTAATTTGTTGCAGATTGCGCGTTACCTTTGGATATTAGTTGCTTCTTCATAGCCTTCAGGCCAAAACACTTGAGTCTGCCAACAGGACCAAAAGACATGAAAGTTCTCATTTAGTGTAATTCATCCTGTGACATATGTCAAAACCGTAAGGATTGCCGATGCAATTTCACCCAGGCAAAGGAATTTGCGTATTTTAGTTAGTGCGTTTAGCCATGAAGTGCAGGTAGCTTTTGTATTTAACAATTATGCTTTATTAGCCATTTCCAGTTGTTATGGATGATTTGGTAGCTAAAGCATTCATCACAATTTATTTTTCCCGCACTTGGTATTTTTATGCTTTTAAGGTTCCCATTTTCGCATTTCCTGTGTACTTGTTTGAGATCGTTTTGCTCTGAATTAAGGCCTGCTTTGCGGATCATTTCCAGCCTTAAGTGTGGATCACACTCCCAAAACCGAGTCGTGGGGAAACGGGTTAAATGCCATAATATTTTATTTCCTGGCGTTTTTTGATCGTCTTAGCGAGTACCAGTACTCGAGCACTATTTTTCTGCTTCGTTTTATCATGAGTCTTCTGGCACATGATTAAAGTGTACACTCCTAGTCACTAACCCGGAAAAGTGCATTGTCGGAAATGTAACAATTGCAGTTGTCACCACAAGAAGGGAGCATGACAGCAGACTAGAATACTAAGGATGCCCAGCCCAACGAAGTTTCTAATTTGATACCTTGCTTAGCGTTGATTAAATTTTGACGTTTCACATGCCAGTTTTGTCAATCGTCAAGCAAAGGAATGCGAAAAGAAACTCGTGGACGTCGATTGGGAGTTGTCCAATCCATTTAGGACAGGTGGTTACATTTGACAAAGAGGAAATCTGCATTAGGAACCTAACCTAATGTAGTTCCTTCTTTCAGACAAGCTACTTGAGGCAGTGTATCCTTGACCTAACGCAACTTCATTTGATGGAAACAAAAATCGATACGCACTCACAGTCGATTGCCTGTTCACCACCATCTGATTTACAAATGTATCTTCTGGCTCTATAAGTTGGAATTTACGAATAAGAGCCGCTTTTCCGCGAATCGGTGATTAAGTGGCGATTCGTGTTAAGTCACGTCTTCCAAAAACCCAGATTTTCTGCCCTCTCCTTAACACGGTGATTCTTTCGATCATCCGAAACAGTCTGTTCCTCTCCCAGTACTCATTTCGTTCAAATGACAATTATGCTATTTGTAGTTAGGCAATTTCACCCAGACTGTCTTGGTGTGCCACGAATTTCAGTGCACGGTGGTACAGAACACACAACTTAGATGAGACATCCAATTAGCGGTTAAGCCCCTCACTCTGTCCTGTCTCATTTCCTACTTAAATAACCAATTCTGTATCTTGGTACCACACCTCAAAAAATCCCAAAAACATGACCCATCAAACCTGATTTCTGTACCCTCATTATACATCCTTTACGTCAATGTTTCTCAAGCTGTACGCTAATGAAGATCACTCAAAATTCGCGTTCTCTTCTTTATACAAAAAACAAAACATTTTCCAACGCATGCACTTATTCTGCGTGTTATAATCGTCATTTAAAATTTGCTTACTGGTACACAGACGCCACTTTTGTAGCGTGATTTTAAAATATATAGTCATTGTTTTAAAGGTTCCGTTAAATAATGTTTCTTGTGCTGGACGATATAAACAATGCTGGTTCATTGGTGTTTTGTACCTTTCACGCGAAATCGATATAAGTCTGTTGGTTTTGGTGTATTGATTACGTTCTCGAATCCCCAAGATGCTGGCTGTTCTGTCTCACAACTTGCAACTTTCAAGCTCAGATGGAGTGATCAAAATGTTGTTGCTTTTTTGAGTCTACTCAGTAATTTATTTATGTCTCAGTCTTCCGTGGTAATCTTGATTAGCGGTCTTCACCTGGGGCCACAGGTTGCAGTGCCGGTAGTTTGCCCAACCGTGTACGAAAAACAACAAATCACGGTTATCATTCAGCTGTTTTCCAATCGCCATCTAAGAAACCGTTAAAAAAAATATCACCAGCCATCATTTTCCGGCCACAAATTTTAAAGTGTTTCTCGTGAAAAGTAATCGGAGGCACTGTGGCGACGCCGCAATAGCATGCTTCCTCGGTTTTTCCTAAAACCTACTGCATTTGTTGCCCCTATTGACATAAAATATTCATATTCGAAACAGCTTGGCCACATGTCTGGTGCACGAAGCACGAAAAAATTTAGGTGCACAGATGCTGAAGCCCAGAGTGCAAGGGATCGGACCCTCGCACCGGAACAGGAACATAATACACGTACTTTTCGGAGGCCCCAAACACATTCGATGGAGCCACATATGCATATGGTATCGGTGGCCTTGACTGCAAATCAGATTAGTAGTGTACTCAAAGATGAATGGGCCAATCAGAAGGGGGCGGTCGATTTGCCTACGCTGTGTGTAACGCGCCATTCGACCCAAGCACGCCGGTTTGGCCTGTTCTTTGTCCTTCTCTCCCTTCCCACACTCTCGCCTTCCTCAAGGCACGCCCGTGAGACTGAGGGCAACACCGACCCTCCTCACGGCCATCCCTTTCTCCTGCTCTAAATCTCCCAAGCTCTAGCCCTCTGAATTTGTATGCGGTAGTATGGAATACATCCGGTTCTTCCAGTTATTCTTCTATCGTGTGCCTGGTAGCTAACCATGATGGTATGGCTATCTAAGAGGGACGTGCTAACAGTCATCTACCTATTTAGGTCCCCGGTCGCTAGGCGCATTACATTTTGGTGGCAGCGATTACCCTCTGATGTTCTTTCTCTGCACCGGCATCGAGGTCGCTGCCCTCGCAGCACTCAACCCGCACTCACGCACACTTTTTTTCTCTCTGCATCACATCGCGCCTAACTCTATCCTTTCCTGAGATTTCCCAAAAAACAGGCCAGGCCAGACCCCCGGCGCACCAGCGTGTTCCCAATATGGTCGTGCTGATTCACGTCCACTAACCCGGTCGCTGCAAGCGACGACTCAGCGTCCCCCTTGTCACGGCATGCTCGCCATCCATGCCCGGCCGTCCGCTCATGCAGCCCTGATCACGTGCCAGCCTCAATCGCCGTTTCACTAAACTAGCCACTCAGCCATCTGTACTTTTACAAGCTCACAGGACTGTATCGGCCCGCAACAGTGGTGTGACACTCACAGCTTCGTTGAGTCATCTAGCGAACTGTTGTTTCCCAAACTCAGGAACAGAATTAGGCCTGCATAAACACGAGTGACAATGCAAAAGCGAAAAAAAATGGCAGTCGGAAGGGAGCTAAGTCTGGTGAATATGCCACGTGAGGGAGAGCTTCCATTCCCAAGTTCAAGAGGATCTTCTGAGTCGCGCGAGCAACGTGAGGTAGAGTGTTGTCATGCATTGGCAGCATGACTTGCCTGCTTCCTTGCCCAGTAAATGGCCTTTTCTGATGTCTGGCCTCTCCGCTCAGTTTGTTCAATTGTCGGCTATAGCGCTGCTCAGTCACCGCTTAACCAGTTTCCAGGAGTTCGTAATAGGATACACCCTTGATGTCCAACCAGATACACATGAGAGCCTTCTTCAAGTGGATGCCCTGTTTCGGTGTCGATATACTGGGTTGCCCTGAATCTTCCCATGACTTTTCACGTTCGTGATTCTCGTAAAAAAATATTCTTTTCATTACGCACCACAATATTCCGCAAGAAGTCCTTTTTTGTTGCCGGTGGGCAAGAAGTGAAGTGCCTGTGTTAATACATTGACCTAGGTTGTATTCGGTCAACACATGGGGACCCGACTTCCAAGTTTTTGAATTTTTCCCTTTTTGTGGTGCAGATTCTTCGAAGTAGCTGCCTGGGTGACTCCAAAAGAAACTGCAAGCTCTTGTTGCGTTAGCGTGGGGTCTTCAACAAATATAGCTTGCAGTTTCGCATCTTCAAAGTTTGAAGGCTGCCGTTGGGTTACGGCTGGTCACCAGGATAAAATTCACCACTTCTACAACGTTTTTACCGATAATTGCACGTTTAAAAAGACAATGTTGGCACCAAGAACAGTACCGATTGAATCCCATGTCTTAGAAGCATTTTTTCATTGTCGGAATTGGTAAAAAATGCAATGCCATCGGATGTCCAGTCAATCAGTTGCCATCCTACACTCTGCTGTTCTGAGAGGTAATGGAACTCACGCAGACTTGCGGTTCGGTGTTTTGAGACCTTGCGTCCAATCCTTTCAAAGCCACAAAATGCCCCGAAAATGTTTCTACTTTTAGCTTAAAAAAATCTGTACTAGGCCATGAACTTACACATTTTCCATATTTTAGCAGTAGCCTGGAAGGCAGCTCAACCAAACGCCCTCGCGCTAACAAATCAAACGCCAATTTCATATTTGTGGTTGTTTTTAAAACGAATTAATTCGTGATAACCACTGATGTGGTATGGGCGATGAAGAATAGGACCTGACCAGAACCGCCGGTGTGCCGTTAGTTCCCTCTTCGACTGGGTTTTTGCACCAAATTGTTAGTTATCTTCCGGTGCATGATACCAAAATAAAGTCCTAAGCAAAGTAGGACTATGACGTTTTCGCATTTGCCCGTATTGCCTTGCCTTCAGGCCTGTGCCTCGTGATTTAGGCCAGGCGCTCACGTGCTAATGTCACCGCGCACGCGAAAACATCGCGTGCCGTGAATGCTCAACTAAGAAGTGCATTGGGCGAGATCCCACTTTTGTGGTTGGCTTCGCCTGCAAATAAATCTGGTAAAACAGGCATTAGTAATTTACCTTTCCCTCGAGATAAATCATTTCGCGAACACCTGGCTCTACAATCTCTGTAGTCAAGATAATAATTTGACGAAGGACCCAAGTCTCCCTGGAAATGATTTGAGCTGCGTGAAATGTACAACAACTGACCAGACTTGTCATTGGTGGGTGCGGCCAAGGTGATCCCCAAGGTCACAAGGTTGGAAAACAAGTGTCTAGTGCGAACCGAAGAAACCGCATCAAGCACACGCGTACTTCAAGTGGGAATAGACACATCAAGGGGTTGTGCGAATATCGCTTCTAGCTAAATTTTTATTGGTTTTTGGTGGTCTTGCACTAGTTTCAAGACAAATCTGTATTATTGGCCATAAAAAATGGCTGTTGCCACACAATATCAATCCGCTTGGGTTGTCCAGTGACCATAAGACCCCAGTGTCCAGGCTGACGGCATCTTTGGATGTTGCTGAATAATAAGGCCAAGTATTGCTGTTATATTTCCACAATATGCACCAAGTAACCGGCTGGAATCTTGGTGGGTAATTAACACTACGGATACGCCCTTTTCATTGTGAGATCATCGAAAGAATTGTCACCAAATCTTTATGTAATCTCCCCAACTGATACACATCCAAGTTAGTGCAACGTGTTTGGCTCCACGATTACTTCGATATTTGTTCTGTTCTAAATGATAGAGTCTAGGGCGACCAGTACGCCCGTCATTCTCACCATGGAAATTCAACAACAAAATGAATATATTGTAACAATAACTCGAGGATTTTTTCTCCTTTTCAAAGTCCTAATAGCAGCCCCAAATTACGATAGTGTCAAAAGGCCAAATTGATGAACCCTTCGCACGGATCGTCGTTTATTTCCAACATGAAATGAAAATACCACACACGACTAGCACCTCAAATTTCCATTCCCTCAAGCTTAAGGAATGCAAACTCATTGGAAAATATGAACCGATTAATTATTGATCAAGCAGCTTTCTCCCCCGAAAACCGACTGTCTGCGGGGAAGAGGCGTGGTTGTCGTCGGGTAAGGTAAGCATCTCCGTTGTACCGTTGTGGTTGGTCTACTGAGTGAGAGCAGAAATAACAAATAATATTTTCATTGAGCTTTTCATCGTCACTGAAATTACCAAAATTATGCGCAGCGGTGTGTTTTGAGGTAGTTGTGGGAAAAGGAACCACACAGCCAGCTCCCGAGGCGAGTGGAAGGCCACACGGGGGCTGCATGCTGTCGGATGTGGTCCTCGGCTATGGACGAGCGGATTGCATAGAGGGCCGATAAAAATAAAATAAGAATACAAGAGAGTGCGTGTGGGTGTTACAATTACACGGACAAGCGCGAAGGGCATCTCAAGTGCTCCTCTTCTCCCGCAAACACACCGGGGATTCAGCGTTTGTTTGGTCCACGTTCTCGCAGTCATTAACAGAAGAAGTCTTAAGGCAAGTTAGGATAGAGTTTTGAGCAATTTTTGTTATCACAAAGTGTGCTACTGCACATCCGTGCGCAGCTAGTGGAATTGTGGCTCAGAACGGCGTTTGTCCCCGGCCCCTGGTGAGGTGTCAGCCAATGTTGGATTTGGTTTTGCAGACGTGGTCGTTGGTGAACCGCTTCGTTGGGTCGTGATTATCTTCTGTATCTGGACAGGCGGAGGTCCAGGTGGCAAGGTGAACGATGACGGTACATCCGTGGCTGTACTCTGGCATTGGTTGCCAGTAGCGGAACTCTTCAGCGTTGGCATTCCATGAAGGGAGAATTGGTGAGGACTCATTCGCCCAGAAACCGCAACGCTGGACTCTCCGGCATGAGACTGCGATTCCGAAAACTGTGCAACATAGTGTGGAACTCGTTGCAGGGCTGCATGATTCACGGATATCGAAGTGCTATTTGCAATTGAAATGGAATTCAGGAGGTTTCTGGATTCACCGCTGGCTCCTTGTGTGCCAGTGGACCGCGTGGTGATGCCATCGCTTCCCTGAGCTTTGGTGGTGCGTCGTCGAAGCCATTCATGTCGGAAAGCTTCACGAGGCGTTATCCTGTCCTCGGGGGCCCACTGAAGACACTGAGAGAGAAAATCAAGAAACGCGGCGTCTTCGCAGCCCTTGAGGGCCGTTTTCAAGCTGCGGGAGCCCGGTATGTCGCGGGTTTTGCCTCGCGGCGTCTTGTGCGGCCGCAGGATCACGCGGTTATCCTTAGTTACTTCCATGCAGTAACGGGGACAGCCGTGCGTTGTGGAGAAAAAGTGCTTCATTCGGCGGCTCTGTTCGAGAAGCCTTTGCGGAGGCATTCCAAGAACCTCAAGAATGCAGGCCAGTTGATCGCCTTCATCTTCACCGGGAAATAGCGGAGAGCCTTAATGGTCAAAAAGTTGAATGCAAAAAAATGGCAGAATAAGCGCGCCTTCTAAACCATCAACGCGTTTCGGATAAGATCAAGATGCCTGCACTTGTCGATTTTTTGAAAGACTGACAAATAGGCCTGTGTCCAAAGTCGGCATTAAACGATTTACAGAAAGCTTTAATGATGGTCCACCAAAATTTCCACGTATCACTCTGTCAAAACTTGTGCGTGGTTCATTAGCACCACGCCTTCAACAGACCTGGTGTGAGTTGACTTTTTGGACAGGGGTTATTGTCAACAAACAATTCGTTTCCGAGTTTAGACGATAAATCCGCCTTGTTTTCTATGTCAATACAGGTTACAAAATTATGCACTTTAATTTCACGTGACTTGGTAATTTCTGTTTTCACCCAGAATAAAGACAGGATATTTTAATCTAAAAAAAGTTTACTGGCCATCGAAGAACTGTGGGAAACACCTGATGTTGCCTTCGTTGATAGGGATTATGTCTTCCATGAGTGGGAAATATTCGACAAGGGCATTTTTCAATCTATGAGAGTCCTTATTTGTGCATATTCTTGCACAGCGGGCATTAAAACCAAGCCACACATTTACAGATTTATCGGCATGTTATTGAGTACTAGGTTTCTAAGAAAATTTTCATGTGTCATTTTGAAGATGGCGCTAGGCATCCGGAATAATACAATGCATGTTGGGTACGTCAGGTGTGTTCATTCAGCTATTATGAAAAAACCGACTCGGCAACAATGGAGTTGTCGCATTTTTGCCGCTTAAAAGCACAGTTTGTTGACTTCGTGCTAGAGAAAACGGATAATCTGCTGTACAAGTGATTGTAGGTTCTGGCTAATGAATGTAACACTTGCACATAACAAACTCATTTCATGCGCATCACGCTGGCATGGATGGCTGTTGCGTGACGACGACTAATACCAACCAACCGGATAGCATTTATGTGCGTGAAGAGAATCACAGCAGGATCAGTGATAGAAGGTGAACAACAAGCAGCCGTCAATTGAGCAGAAAGCCAGCTTCCGCTAATGCGTTTGCAGACGGCGCTGATTCCCTTGTTAGGGGCAATATTAATGGAAAAAAGAAAGACTTGTGTGGTTTAGGTGGTTAGCCACTGATCTCTAGGTTGTGCAAAGATTGCCTCAACAGCGCCAAATTTGTTTATGCTTAGTGACAATGACCCAACCTTGGCCAAACACTGACTTTGTGAATGTCTAGTTAAAACAGTTGAGCAATTAAGCACAGCAGAAAAAAAAACTTCGTCCAAGTACAATTTTGAGACCAATGTCATTTGTCACTGAAAAAATGTTTGGATTGTTAAACTTGAATAGCATTTTGGTGCAGATGCTTTTAAAGAAAGTAGACGTGCCGTAATAAATCACTGACTATGCCCTCAAATTTGGCTGGCAAAGTATGAATGAAGCATCAAAATCACTTATGAATACAAAGCGAAATTCACCTTCTTTTAAGTAACCGCAATTAGCTAGAAGTCTACCCATATTACCCATCGTGTGAGATGCAATTTTTTAGTAAACTTGAACGAACCAACCGTCGCTAAGTTAGATTCCAGCTTCAAACCGCGACAACTTCTAATTAATTTGGCATTCGCAAGGATGCGCGGGCCAACAAACACCGTTTTGTGGAACTGAAGTTTCTTTCAAAATTGAGCAGCGCTGTTTAAGAAGCGCTTCTTGTTGATGAGAGCAATAAATTTATGTTACATAAAAGCGCCTCTGCTATTAAAATTAAAACGGAATCTCGCTAGGTATCCTAAAAACGATATTTTTTCCCCACAATTTACTAAACCGCTACTCCTTGATCCCTCAGCTCTCACGTTAGGTAATGTCTCGAATGTACATCCCAAACAGCAGCAGTGGCGTCGTGTCAGAATGGAGTTTCTGCTTTAACTCAAAACCTGTTTCAGTTTCGCAGCGTGAAAAGATTTATGTGTCGAGCAATAAACGCTAAAGTGGATAGGGTTTCAGAGTGCACACCTTCAGGAGCTATGAAAGTTCACAGATTTAAGATTATCGTAGTTTGAAGGCCGGAATTGTCGTCATTCCATTGGCTAAGTAAAACCCCCCTGAGATATCACTTCCGTGTCTAACTCTGAATTGAGTAAGACAGTTTTCTGCATCGATACACTTGCCACCGTGTAGCTAGGCTGAATTTAACTAGACACATGGATAATGGGCTGCCACATTTTGAAAACACTCTGCTCAACTAGTCACTTTTCTTCCTTCTTAGGATCCATTTGAGCAGTTTACTGGTAGAAAATTATTTCTAAATCTGAAAAAATACACCGGCTATTGCCTTGACAATCAAGTCTTTAAAGCAAATCTTGGGATAATTGTTCGCCTCGGTAACGACAAAACCGCGGAATTGTTTCGTGGGATAAAAAACAGTGTCAGGCGACTCTAACTGCATAGTTTACGCCAAAATTGAGGCAGAGGCAGCTTAAAAACGCAAATTCCGTACATTAATCGCGATTGTGTTTGACATGGAATATACCTGTCTATTCATGGTTGGAATTATGAAACTTTTTTAGCGGTAAATTAAAATCTTTTAAAAATGTCTCATTTACACGCTTCGATGAAGGGTGAGAAGTAGATTTTAAAACGCGCAAGATGCCAAGACACCTGTTATCTGATCTTGTCTATTAATAAAACTGCTCTGGTCAAAATTTTACGACTGGAGTGATGGCGTTTTTACCAAGGGAAAATATAATCAACAAAGTTAAAGGCAAAAGTGTTTGCATATTACGAGCTGGGAGCATGAGAAACATGTTTAACCGTAGACAGATGCTGAAGAAGAAAAATGTGAACGGTAATGAGAAGAGACAAAGTAAAACACTACTTTAATAACTAGTCGTTCGCTTGCATTTTATCCACATCAGATTAGATTCAAAGATTGAGTAGTAAATACGGTAAGAAAAGAGAACAAAACTGTCCGGTTCTAGCACTTAAAATATGAACCGACAACAGTCAGTAGAATATGGCAAGATTAAGGAAGTGCATGGTAGTGATGTGAACAGAAAAATGAAGCTGATCTTGAGTATTTACATGCGATTAGATCTACTTTAAAAACTCGAAGCAATTTTACCAATTTTAGCCACGCGTCAGTGATGTTACGTTTCATCAACTAGAATGACTTGGTGCTAACGTGTGTCTGACGGATACGCTATTTTAAAGCCTACTATTGCTAGTACCACAAGGTTCGCAAAAGGGAAATATTCTTTTCAGATGTTAGACAATGCGTTCGAGTAGTTAAACTCAACCGATATCCCCGGCTACAACTCGATTCAGTGGGCAATGAGTGAACCCTCAAGATATTGTCGCGTCACCATTTTTAGTTAAATTGCTTACTTTTAGGCAAGTCCACTTATTTCAATTCGAAGCCATTATTTATTGGATTCGCAGTATTATGAAAAATTAGGCAAATGTCAAGCTCTCACTTAAGCTAAGCATGAGGTGGTTTATGAAAGTAGCATTTGAGCCCATTACCTAGTGTTTTTACGTCTACCGCGAGTGGCAAAATATTAGATTGCATGCATATCGAGTTGTTTAGTAAAGCACTTTGCGAAAATTATTTAACCGACACGGGCGACCGGTTTAATACACAGCGTCGCCAGACAGGACAGTGTAAATTTAGACCCTGCAAGAATCCGATGCGTTAGTCTGTCTGAGTCTGATCTGACCTAAGCGACCGAGCAACCGGTCTGCGCTCTACAACTCAGATTCACGAATCAGAATTCCGACGTGTGGCAGGTTTGCAGTCTGCATCAAATAAGGCACTAACATCGGCCTGATTCGAAGCTTCCAGGCAATTACATCGCACTTACCAGTTAATAACTCCGCAAGGATACATCCGAAACTCCAGATATCGATTGAGACATTGTACTTGCAGCCCAGGATCACTTCAGGAGCTCGATAAAATCTTGACTGAATGTATGTGTAGATCCGTTGGTGTTCAAAGCAACTTGAGCCGAAATCAATTACTTTAATTCCGCTTCGTCCTTGTTGTTTCAAGAGAATGTTTTCCGGTTTCAAGTCACAGTGGATGATTTTATTCCGATGCAACATGTCCAAACAAATGAGGATGGAGTGTGCGAATTTGCGGACTAGGGGGAGAGGGAAGCCTTGGAATTTATTTCGTTTAATCAACTCGTAGAGGTTCATGTTGAGCAGCTCAAACGTCATGCAAACGTGCTCACGGAAAGTGA